TTTGGACACATCTGATCGGATCCACTACATGACATGTTGTACATTCTACGTGGTTTGGACACATCTGATCGGATCCACTACATGACATGTTGTACATTCTACGTGGTTTGGACACATCTGATCGGATCCGCTACATGAAATGTTGTACATTCTACGTGGTTTGGACACATCTGATAGGATCCACTGCATAAAGTGTTGTACATTCAACGTGGTTTGGACACAACAAATCTGAACTGCACTAGAGCGCATGAAAATAACATGAAATTGGGTTTAACGTTGCCTCCAAGATTATATAGCACGCGTGCGTGCGTACGTGCGTGCCTACTAGTAAAGGGTTTCGGGTTAGAATAGGTTTTCAGCAGCCCATGCTTGTCATAAGAGGCGACAAACAGGATCGGGTGGTCAGGCTCGCTGACTTGGTTGATGTATGTCATCGTATCCCAATTACGAAATCGATACGCATGATGTCAATCAGTGGAATGTCTGGTCCAGACTCGATTATTTACAGACCGCCGTCATATAGGTGGAATATTGTGCAGCGGTATACAAAAAGAAACAATATTGTACTAGTCCGGACTAATGCCGGTTTTAGAGTGCTAGGCCCCTGAGAAACCATGCCGCAGTTTAACATGAATACCCAACTCAGTATACTGACTCCGAGCCGACAAGTCCCTTAATGCCCCTTAATGCCGATCGCCAGACAGGGTAACAACAAGTACCATCAGTAGGGTTTTTAGTAAAGAGTTGGTTTATCGAGGACTTTGAAAAGGAGAAAAAGGATAATGAACAGGAAGGTGGTTAGAACTATGCCATAAACTTAATGCTAATTGTGCTTTGACACTATGGGTCAGTTATTAACCCCCAGAGAATACCACTAGAAATGTTGCTGCCATCGACTTTAATGACACATTACTAACTTAATTATTTAGCTACAATCATGTAATTCAACTAATGTGTGTGATGATTTCTTCTACGGGACTTTACAGTGGAAGCTCACCACATTAGTGAAAACAATGCAAGGTGCAAGAACAGATACAGTTGTAACAATGATACATCAGGTGTATCTGAACCGTTGCCAAACTCAGAGGAGTGTGTCAGCCGTGACGATCCGGGTAAGAATAGGTCTTCAGCAACCCATGCCGTAAGAGGCGACTAACGGGATCGGGTGGTCAGGCTCGCTGACTTGGTTGATGCATGTAATCGTATCCCATGCGCGTGTACGAAATCGATACGCATGATATCAATCACTGGATTGTATGGTCCAGATTCGATTTTTTACAGACCGCCGTCATAAAGCTGGAATATTGCTCAGTGCGGCGTTGAACAACAAACCAACAAAACAATTATGAGGGAGCATAATGCTAAGAAAGGAATGGCCTCTGGCAGTGACAATATGCCTGTCGGTGTGTTAAACATTGACAGGCGTGTCTATTTCCAGCAGTCTTTCCAACAGGTGCTTCTAGACAGGACCAATCCCCGTGACCCTATTGCATACCGAGGTATCACACTCTCTAACTCAACCTACAACTTACACTGGGGAATTGTGAATGACAGACTTACTGATCTCAGTTGTGATGTACAGAACGCCTTCAGAAGAGGAAGAGCTGTGGTTGAGCTAATCTCTAACATAATATCGATCACAGAAACCTGAAGAAAAGTCTAAAGAAGTCAATTTTCGGAGCGTGCATAGATTTTTAAAAAGCCTTTGACTGTATTGACAGGTCCATACTATGGGAGAAACTCGTGAATACTGGAATTGGGAAAACATTTTCTCGTCTCTCATGCTCATGATGCCCATCACTGAAATGTCTGGTCCAGACTCGATTATTTACAGACCAGCATTAGATCGCTGAGTGTGGCGTTAAACAACAAAGAAAACCAAACGTACATCATTTATATTTTGAGTTTTACAGTGATACACATGTATGTTACATTTTCGTTGCGTCCCCATGTTTGTATTTGATCTCCAATCACCTTTCCAATACGAATGTAGGGAACAGTCATTTTCTTAAATGTGTTTGGAAATCATGCATTACATAATTGGAAATGAATCATGACTTAGTTGTGTTTGTCCTGGGTAGATATGCAGTGATAATGGTGAAGGAGCAATGTAGCCATCCGTGACGGACGTTCACATTTTTTCAGCATCTCCGAGGAGACACCAATAAGGTGTGTTTCTTAACCGTACCTACACACTAAAGATCTTATTTTAAACTCCTACTGCCAAGCGACCAGTTATCGCCAAGGACCAATTATCGCCAACTCCCCGTTATAGCGCGCACGTGATCGCATATCATTTAACTTTTGCTCGTTTTCATAAGAAGAAAGAAATATTTATCCGAAAATGATGGAACAAAACGGATACGAGGAAATATTCAGAAAAAGCTAACATAATCGCCTTGCTCAAATACTTTAGAAAAGACGCGCGGTCGTTGTCACGTGACTTATTCACGCGAAAATATAGATCAAGTAATACCCATGATGCACTTTCAGTTCTGTTATTGCTTGCTATATGTCTGTCTATTCTTCCCCAAAATACAATTCTAAAACCTATTTCAGCTATATTTCCAAAACAACGAAAGCCTGTATATATCGCAAAATCCTTAGTACATAGTGTTAAGGGTAAGCGTGTGTATATCGAATTGGGGGGATATTGGTTTATGTCAGTTTGCAGACAACAAGTTGAAAATAGCATATCTTTTTCATTTTGATGAATAAAAACATTGAGTGCCATACCGCAGATACTAAAAAACTGTAAAGACGATGGCGATAACTGGTACAGTAAGTCGACGGGGAAGTTCTATTTCCACTGTTTTGATTCCCCGTGGTAGCGTTATAACAGAAATCAACTGAATCTTATTTCACGGACAGGAAGCGTTTTTGCTCTTAGTTTCACAAAAAATAAAAGTTATTGGAACAGTCAACTTTGTACACGGAATATGTCAGAAATAACATGAAGAAAATGGCGCTAACTGGTCGGTGACCTGTAAACTGTCACTGTCACTTGAACCAGAGACCATAAAATAGATAACCCTCTGCTTGAACCCACTAAATTATCACATAAAACTTATTTCACAGTAATTATGAGGCATGCAAATGTACGCGATTTGCAAACGTCCGACATGGTTCTTCCATGAAACCCAGGCCTTGTTTTGTGCCGTTTCTATTATGACTGTATGAAGCTAAAGTGTCAGGAATAGGATCATCACAACAGTCTCTGTTCAGCGACTGCAATCTCGTACTGGAAACTGGCCTCATCTCACCATTGCCTTTGTAATTGTATTGTAGTTATACACTCACGGTTGATGGTGGCTAAACGTTAAACAACTAAAAAATGTTTATTCGGTTGTGATGTATAGTCACACGCAAAAGAAACGCAAGTGGTTTTAAGCAAATAGGTAACAAACACGGAACCATAAATTGATACGAGTTTTAGCATGTAGTGAAGCCTGATGGTGAAATCAATATTTTTGGTTGCATTTTGGAAGCCCGGAGTAAAAACGCAACATAAAAAGCAAATCGCAAAAACGCACCATTTCAATGAATATGTGGGTATCATGTACACATTTCTCGCGAAATCGAAAATGCACGAACTGTAGTGGGTATAAAACTGTGGCCGATTCTTGGATCTACCACTCCTTGGTCAACAATGCCACGCCTAACTCAAATTCAGAGAAACTAGGCTATCGGACGTTTGGAAGCTGGAGAGTCTGTCCAAGATGTTGCCTGTCATTTCAACGTTAACATAACCACAATTTACCGTCTTCTGCATCGATATAATGCTACACAGACCACAGATGACCTTCCTCGGAGCGGTCGTCCTAGGGTCACCACACCTCGACAAGATCGGCAGATTACCCGTCAACACCGGCGACATCCGTTCCTAACTGCAAGTGAAAGTGCTTGACAGACCATAGGAACACATCATCGACACATTAGCCGGGACACTGTGATCCGACGTCTCCATTCCAACAACCTCAGATGTCGCCGACCAGCACGTCGTCCTGTTCTCCAACCACGGCATCGACAAGCACGACTGTAGTGGGCACAGGGTCATCGCAATTGTCGTCATCGTGAGTGGAGGCGTGTCATCTTCTCTGATGAAAGTCGCTTTTGTGTCTCCCATGCAGACGGAAGAGTCAGAATTTGTAGGCATCGAGGTGATCGTTTCGCTGACAGAAACGTTGTGGAAAGGGATCCATGGGGTGGACCTAGCGTCATGATATGGGCAGGGATTGGACTTAATGCGAGACTTGGACCCATGTGCTTTCTGAATGTTGGTCAAGGTCGGGGACACGGCGTCACTGCTCAGCAGTATATCGACCAAGTGATCAGAACCCCACGTTGTTCCATTTTTTGCATATCAACAACACATTTTCCGACAGGACAACGTTCGTCCCCATTTTGCCAGAGCTACCATGGCCTTTCTGCAACAACACAACATCCGTGTTCTACCCTGGCCAGCCCTCAGCCCTGATCTGAACCCCATCGAACACTTGTGGGATGAGGTTCAAAGGCGTCTGCACAATGTGTGCCCAGTCCCTACAACTGCCGATGAACTACGCACAGCTGCTCTGGATGTGTGCAGGGGGATCCCTAGGGCCTTCACAAATCGTCGGATCCACTCAATGTACAGGAAATGTGTGGCAGTGATCAATGCTAATGGTGGTCACACCAGGTATTGACTGACATTTTGGGTATTGACCCGAAACTGTGTAAAACCCTTAACATTTGAAAAAAACAATTATGTCATCTGCCTTTAAATCCATTAAACTGTCTTCAGTCAAATTTTTGTCAATCTTGCCCTATTAGTATTTCTTGTCTTTACTGTTGAAAATAAATAACATGTATACTGCATACTCGACTTCGGTTTCTTTTGCGTGTGAGTATATTTGATACGGGTATCATAGGCGATATTGCCCTCAAAGTGAGACAAAGCGTTACAAGCGAACATTTTAACCACTAGGCTACCCCACTGCCCCAAAAACATTCTGGAGAAGTTTACGAATGTCCTGACTTTATTAGAGTATGTGCACAAGACGTGAGAGGGAGGAGCAGTGCCACGTTGTCCGAGTACTCGTTCCGCTCACCAGGCCGGGTCAAGAACTGAAACATACGTTGTGTTTGTACATAATGTGTGTCAACAGGAGAAATGAGACCCGTGAAGATCCGGGGTAGAATAGGTCTTCAGCAACCCATGCTTGCCTTAAGAGGCGACTATGCTTGCCTTAAGAGGCGACTGTGCTTGTCGTTAGAGGCGACTAACGGGATGGGATGGTCAGGCTTGCTGACTTGGTTGATGCATGTTATCGTATCCCAATTGCGTGGATCGATGCTCATGATGTCAATCAATGGATTGTCTGGTCCAGACTGGATTATTTACAGACCGCCGTCATATAGCTGGAATATTGCTGAGTGCGGCGTTAAACAACAAACAAACAAACATAATGTGCTAATTGGAGAAATACACAAATATTTTAGTAGAAATGTTATTAAAAAGGTGATGCTTTTTTCCTGGCCATTATCATTACCTGCCAGATGAACGATAAATATCTTTTTCAATACGCCTGCTTTACAGCATAACACTTTTTCTGACTGACCTGGACCTTCCTGAATTCTGACCCTGGAGGTGAAGGGTCATCTGGAGTGTAAAGGTCACTGAGTCGGAGCCATATGACATCCGGCTCAAGGTCAATGAGATGCTGAAAGCATGTTAAGCTTGCCTGAAATAGAAGCATTGATTTCTCATTGATATGTAATGGTTATGCAAACATACAAGGATATTGATATATCAAGGTTATCTTTTTCCAAATCTGATCAAGAGAAAAGTTCAGAGTAAAAATATCTTCAGTCAATTTAGTCATATATCGTTAGCATGATCAACTTGTTAGCACGATCGACTTCTTAGCATGATCAACTTGTTAATATGATGAAAATTGAGTGATTTTTTTCTGTTTTGGACACAGTTTGGCCGATAACTCGACTTAAACCATTTTGCTACTTGTTTATTTGTTCTATGTGAGGTTGCCTAAGTGTGCACACTGATTTTGTTTATAAAATGTGCATTGCAGTATGCAGACTGACTTGTTTAGAGCCATTTATTTGATTTACTTAATTTTGTCATACAAAAAATAAACATGTCTTCCACCAAAATGAAACACCAGAACCATAATTTTCTAATGCATAAATGACATCTTGTGAAGAAAAGTGTGGTTGTGCTTTGTTCTACTACATAAACCTCTTTTTAAGGGTTGGCAGCTGATCTATTTACATTCTGGGGATAGGGGAGAGAGGGGCCAGAGATAAAGTGTCTCTGAAAATTCTTGAAAAAGATAATAATGTTTCAGACTGCAAGAGCAGTTGCCTGCAACAAAATATTACATAGCTGCAAGGCGTTTTTCTTAAAAAGAGAATCCTCAGTGTTTAAAAAGAATAAATGTGTGGTTTTGTAGCTGACAAAATATCTAACCAGGATACAAAATCCCAGGTCCCCCAACCCCAGGATATCAATGGTCGGTCACTACCAAACTCACCTGAGGATCTAACCAACTCACCTGGGGATCTTACCAACTCACCTAGGGATCTTACCAACACATCTGGGGATCTAACCAACTCACCTGAGGATCTAACCAACTCACCTTGGGATCTAACCAACTCACCTAGGATCTAACCAACTGACCCGAGGATCTAACCAACTCACCTGGGGATCTTACCAACTCACCTAGGGATCTAACCAACTCATCTGAGGATCTAACCAACTCACCTAAGGATCTAACCAAATCACCTAAGGATCTAACCAACTCACCTGGGGATCTAACCAACTCATCTGAGGATGTTACCAACTCACCTAAGGATCTAACCAACTCACCTGAGGATCTAACCAACTCACCTCGGGATCTAACCAACTCACCTAGGATCTAACCAACTGACCTGGGGATCTAACCAACTCACCTGGAGATCTAACCAACTCACCTGGGGATCTTACCAACTCACCTAGGGATCTAACCAACTCACCTAGGGATCTAACCAACTCACCTGGGGATATGACCAACTCACCTAGGGATCTTACCAACACATCTGGGGATCTAACCAACTCACCTAGGGATCTAACCAACTCACCTGAGGATGTAACCAACTCACCCAAGGATCTAACCAACTCACCTGGGGATCTAACCAACACACCAGGGGATCTTACCAACTCACCTAGGGATCTAACCAACTCACCTAGGGATCTAACCAACTCACCTAGGGATCTAACCAACTCACCTGGGGATGTAACCAACTCACCTAGGGATCTAACCAACTCACCTAGGGATCTAACCAACTCACCTAGGGATCTAACCAACTCACCTGGGGATGTAACCAACTCACCTAGGGATGTAACCAACTCACCTAGGGATCTAACCAACTCACCTAGGGATCTAACCAAATCACCTGGGGATGTAACCAACTCACCTAGGGATGTAACCAACTCACCTAGGGATCTAACCAACTCACCTGGGGATGTAACCAACTCACCTAGGGATCTAACCAACTCACCTGGGGATGTAACCAACTCACCTTGGGATCTTACCAACTCACCTAGGGATCTAACCAACTCACCTAGGGATCTAACCAACTCACCTTGGGATCTTACCAACTCACCTAGGGATCTAACCAACTCACCTGGGGATCTAACCAACTCACCTCGGGATCTTACCAACTCACCTAGGGATCTTACCAACACATCTGGGGATCTAACCAACTCACCTGAGGATCTAACCAACTCACCTTGGGATCTAACCAACTCACCTATGATCTAACCAACTGACCCGAGGATCTAACCAACTCACCTGGGGATCTTACCAACTCACCTAGGGATCTAACCAACTCATCTGAGGATCTAACCAACTCACCTAAGGATCTAACCAAATCCCCTAAGGATCTAACCAACTCACCTGGGGATCTAACCAACTCATCTGAGGATGTAACCAACTCACCTAAGGATCTAACCAACTCACCTGAGGATCTAACCAACTCACCTTGGGATCTAACCAACTCACCTAGGATCTAACCAACTGACCTGGGGATCTAACCAACTCACCTGGGGATCTAATCAACTCACCTGGGGATCTAACCAACTCACCTGGGGATCTTACCAACTCACCTAGGGATCTAACCAACTCACCTAGGGATCTAACCAACTCACCTGGGGATATGACCAACTCACCTAGGGATCTTACCAACACATCTGGGGATCTAACCAACTCACCTAGGGATCTAACCAACTCACCTGAGGATCTAACCAACTCACCCGAGGATCTAACCAACACACCTGGGGATCTAACCAACACACCAGGGGATCTTACCAACTCACCTAGGGATCTAACCAACTCACCTAGGGATCTAACCAACTCACCTAGGGATCTAACCAACTCACCTGGGGATGTAACCAACTCACCTAGGGATCTTACCAAATCACCTGGGGATGTAACCAACTCACCTAGGGATCTTACCAAATCACCTAGGGATCTTACCAACTCACCTAGGGATCTAACCAACTCACCTAGGGATCTAACCAACTCACCTTGGGATCTTACCAACTCACCTAGGGATCTAACCAACTCACCTCGGGATCTAATAAACTCACCTAGGGATCTTACCAACTCACCTGGGGATCTTACCAACATACCTGGGGATCTAACCAACTCACCTAGGGATCTTACCAACTCACCTAGGGATCTAAACAACTCACCTAGGGATCTAACCAACTCACCTGGGGATCTAACCAACTCACCTAGGGATCTAAACAACTCACCTAGGGATTTAACCAACTCACCTGGGGATCTAACCAACTCACCTGGGGATCTAATAAACTCACCTAGGGATCTTACCAACTCACCTAGGGATCTAAACAACTCACCTAGGGATCTAACCAACTCACCTAGGGATCTAACCAACTCACCTGCTGGAGAGGTTTGGGCTGTTGTGCACTTAGATAAGGGAGACAACCCTGCACAACCAGATCGAGACCACGGGCTTCCACCTGCAAACAAGTCATCAAAGTCATATATCACACACTGTTAAACCATATATCACATACTGTTATACCATTAATCACACACTGTTAAACTACATATCACACACTGTTAAACCATATATCACACATTGTTAAACCATATATCACACACTGTTAAACCATATACCACACACTGTTAAACCATATACCACACACTGTTAAACCATATATCACACACTGTTTAACCATATATCACACACTGTTAAACCATATATCACACACTGTTATACCATAAATCACACACTGTTATACTACATATCACACACTGTTAACCATATATCACACACTGTTAAACTACATATCACACACTGTTAACCCATATATCACACACTGTTAAACCATATATCACACACTGTTAAACCCAATATCACCCACCTAATTAACCACATGTCATGCAACCATACACCAGACATTATAAAACGATATATCACAGCCATATATCACACAAATATACCATATATATCAAACAATATTAAACAATGTATCATAAACAAATAAACAAAATATCACATATGAATAAACCATTTATCACACACTATTCTACTATATCACACACTATTCGAGCATATATCACACACCTTAACCATACACCAAACACCACTAAACCATACTATGCACAATATGAAGCTATGTAGCGTACTCAATTAAAACACACATGACACTATCAGACCATGATGGCTCCAGACTGGATCACCTCCCTCCTGACAGATGGGTCCAGACTGGATCGCCTACCTCCTGACAGATGGTTCCAGACTGGATGACCTACCTCCTGACAGATGGGTCCAGACTGGATCACCTCCCTCCTGACAGATGGGTTAAGGCTGGACCACCTACCTCCTGACATGGTTCCAGACTGGATCACCTACCTCCTGACAGATGGCTCCAGACTGGATCACCTCCCTCCTGACAGATGGGTCCAGACTGGATCACCTCCCTCCTGACAGATGGGTTCAGGCTGGACCACCTCCCTCCTGACAGATGGGTTCAGGCTGGACCACCTCCCTCCTGACAGATGGGTCTAGACTGGATTACCTACCTCCTGACAGATGGGTTCAGGCTGGACCACCTACCTCCTGACAGATGGGTCCAGAATGGATTACCTACCTCCTGACAGATGGGTCCAGACTGGATCACCTACCTCCTGACAGATGGGTTCAGGCTGGATGACCTCCCTCCTGACAGATGGGTCCAGACTGGATTACCTACCTCCTGACAGATGGGTCCAGACTGGATTACCTACCTCCTGACAGATGGGTCCAGACTGGATCACCTACCTCCTGACAGGTGGTTCCAGACTGGATCACCTCCCTCCTGACAGATGGGTTCAGGCTGGACCACCTACCTCCTGACAGATGGGTCCAGACTGGATAACCTCCCTCCTGACAGATGGTTCCAGACTGGATCACCTACCTCCTGACAGAGGGCTCCAGACTGGATCACCTACCTCCTGACAGATGGGTCTAGACTGGATCACCTACCTCCTGGCAGATGGGTCTAGACTGGATCACCTACCTCCTGACAGATGGGTCTAGACTGGATTACCTACCTCCTGACAGATGGGTTCAGGCTGGACCACCTACCTCCTGGCAGATGGGTCCAGACTGGATTACCTCCCTCCTGACAGATGGGTCCAGACTGAAAGACCTCCCTCCTGACAGATGGGTCCAGACTGGACCACCTACCTCCTGGCAGATCGGTCCAGACTGGATCACCTACCTCCTGGCAGATGGGTCCAGACTGGATCACCTGCCTCTTGACAGATGGGTCCAGACTGGATCACCTCCCTCCTGACAGATGGTTCCAGACTGGATCACCTACCTCCTGGCAGATGGGTCCAGACTGGATCACCTACCTCCTGACAGATGGGTCCAGATTGGACCACCTACCTCCTGACAGATGGGTCCCGACTGGATCACCTACCTCCTGACAGATGGGTCCAGACTGGATCACCTACCTCCTGACTGATGGGTCCAGACTGGATCACCTACCCACTGAGAGATGGGTTCAGGCTGGATCACCTACCTCGTGACAGATGGGTTCAGGCTGGACCACCTACCTCGTGACAGATGGGTCCGAGGTGTGTGAGGCAGGAGAGCTGCAGCTTGTAACACAAGGTGTACTGGTACGCCTGGGCGGAACTGCAACTACACAACAACCTGATTGTCAACTGTGGAACCAGCATGTATCGAATGATTGTAACTGTGCTACATTGTTTCTGTTGAGATTGAATTGTGTTAGGGCAGTGATCAGTCAGCAGGAAGTTACTATACTTAGATGCTTGTATGGTGTGTAAAACTTCTGGTCCGGTATACCTCGGATGGTGACAGTATGTTATAGAAACATGTGGAATGTTCTTGTGCCGCTAAACTGGTGAGGGCACTGTGTTGAAATTTCCAGTAACTTGTTAGGTTGTATATAAGGAGACAAGAGCGTGTTTATGCATCTCACACATTTGATCACATCAGAACCAGCTTTCATGTGAAGCTCACTCATCTTCCCTGATTCTCTGCCTAGCCCATCTCGGAAGTTTTGACCACTGACGCCTCTAGGTGAAGATACATCATTATCACTTACTTTTGCTATGACCACTGTATTCTACTGCCCACTGACGCCTCTAGGTGAAGATACATCATTATCACTTACTTACTTTTGCTATGACCACTGTATTCTACTGCCCACTGACGCCTCTAGGTGAAGATACATCATTATCACTTACTTTTGCTATGACCACTGTATTCTACTGCCCACTGACGCCTCTAGGTGAAGATACATCATTATCACTTACTTTTGCTATGACCACTGTACTCTACTGCCCACTGACGCCTCTAGTTGAAGATACATCATTATCACTTACTTTTGCTATGACCACTGTATTCTACTGACCACTGACGCCTCTAGGTGAAGATACATCATTATCACTTACTTTTGCTATCACCACTGTACTCTACTGCCCACTGACGCCTCTAGGTGAAGATACATCATTATCACTTACTTTTGCTATCACCACTGTATTCTACTGACCACTGACGCCTCTAGGTGAAGATACATCATTATCACTTACTTTTGCTATCACCACTGTATTCTACTGCCCACTGACGCCTCTAGGTGAAGATACATCATTATCACTTACTTTTGCTATGACCACTGTACTCTACTGCCCACTGACGCCTCTAGGTGAAGATACATCATTATCACTTACTTTTGCTATCACCCCTGTATTCTACTGCCCACTGATGCCTCTAGGTGAAGATACATCATTATCACTTACTTTTGCTATGACCACTGTATTCTACTGCCCACTGACGCCTCTAGGTGAAGATACATCATTATCACTTACTTTTGCTATGACCCCTGTATTCTACTGCCCACTGACGCCTCTAGGTGAAGATACATCATTATCACTTACTTTTGCTATGACCACTGTATTCTACTGCCCACTGACGCCTCTAGGTGAAGATACATCATTATCACTTACTTTTGCTATGACCACTGTATTCTACTGCCCACTGACGCCTCTAGGTGAAGATACATCATTATCACTTACTTTTGCTATGACCACTGTATTCTACTGCCCACTGACGCCTCTAGGTGAAGATACATCATTATCACTTACTTTTGCTATGACCACTGTATTCTACTGACCACTGACGCCTCTAGGTGAAGATACATCATTATCACTTACTTTTGCTATGACCACTGTATTCTACTGCCCACTGACGCCTCTAGGTGAAGATACATCATTATCACTTACTTTTGCTATGACCACTGTATTCTACTGCCCACTGACGCCTCTAGGTGAAGATACATCATTATCACTTACTTTTGCTATGACCACTGTATTCTACTGCCCACTGACGCCTCTAGGTGAAGATACATCATTATCACTTACTTTTGCTATCACCACTGTATTCTACTGACCACTGACGCCTCTAGGTGAAGATACATCATTATCACTTACTTTTGCTATGACCACTGTATTCTACTGCCCACTGACGCCTCTAGGTGAAGATACATCATTATCACTTACTTTTGCTATGACCCCTGTATTCTACTGCCCACTGACGCCTCTAGGTGAAGATACATCATTATCACTTACTTTTGCTATGACCACTGTATTCTACTGCCCACTGACGCCTCTAGGTGAAGATACATCATTATCACTTACTTTTGCTATGACCACTGTATTCTACTGCCCACTGACGCCTCTAGGTGAAGATACATCATTATCACTTACTTTTGCTATGACCCCTGTACTCTACTGCCCACTGACGCCTCTAGGTGAAGATACATCATTATCACTTACTTTTGCTATGACCACTGTATTCTACTGCCCACTGACGCCTCTAGGTGAAGATACATCATTATCACTTACTTTTGCTATGACCACTGTATTCTACTGCCCACTGACGCCTCTAGGTGAAGATACATCATTATCACTTACTTTTGCTATCACCACTGTACTCTACTGACCACTGACGCCTCTAGGTGAAGATACATCATTATCACTTACTGTTGCTATCACCACTGTATTCTACTGCCCACTGACGCCTCTAGGTGAAGATACATCATTATCACTTACTTTTGCTATCACCACTGTATTCTACTGCCCACTGACGCCTCTAGGTGAAGATACATCATTATCACTTACTTTTGCTATGACCACTGTATTCTACTGACCACTGATGCCTCTAGGTGAAGATACATCATTATCACTTACTTTTGCTATCACCACTGTATTCCACTGACGCCTCTAGGTGAAGATACATCATCATCACTTACTTTTGCTATGACCACTGTACTCTACTGACCACTGACGCCTCTAGGTGAAGATACATCATTATCACTTACTTTTGCTATCACCACTGTATTCCACTGCCCACTGACGCCTCTAGGTGAAGATACATCATCATCACTTACTTTTGCTATGACCACTGTACTCTACTGACCACTGACGCCTCTAGGTGAAGATACATCATTATCACTTACTTTTGCTATGACCACTGTATTCTACTGCCCACTGACGCCTCTAGGTGAAGATACATCATCATCACTTACTTTTGCTATGACCCCTGTATTCTACTGCCCACTGACGCCTCTAGGTGAAGATACATCATCATCACTTACGTTTGCTATGACCACTGTATTCTACTGCCCACTGACGCCTCTAGGTGAAGATACATCATTATCACTTACTTTTGCTATGACCACTGTATTCTACTGCCCACTGACGCCTCTAGGTGAAGATACATCATTATCACTTACTTTTGCTATGACCACTGTACTCTACTGCCCACTGACGCCTCTAGGTGAAGATACATCATTATCACTTACTTTTGCTATGACCACTGTATTCTACTGCCCACTGACGCCTCTAGGTGAAGATACATCATCATCACTTACTTTTGCTATGACCACTGTATTCTACTGCCCACTGACGCCTCTAGGTGAAGATACATCATTATCACTTACTTTTGCTATGACCACTGTACTCTACTGCCCACTGACGCCTCTAGGTGAAGATACATCATCATCACTTACTTTTGCTATCACCACTGTACTCTACTGCCCACTGACGCCTCTAGGTGAAGATACATCATTATCACTTACTTTTGCTATGACCACTGTATTCTACTGCCCACTGACGCCTCTAGGTGAAGATACATCATTATCACTTACTTTTGCTATGACCACTGTATTCTACTGCCCACTGACGCCTCTAGGTGAAGATACATCATTATCACTTACTTTTGCTATCACCACTGTATTCTACTGCCCACTGACGCCTCTAGGTGAAGATACATCATTATCACTTACTTTTGCTATGACCACTGTACTCTACTGCCCACTGACGCCTCTAGGTGAAGATACATCATTATCACTTACTTTTGCTATCACCACTGTATTCTACTGCCCACTGACGCCTCTAGGTGAAGATACATCATTATCACTTACTTTTGCTATCACCACTGTACTCTACTGCCCACTGACGCCTCTAGGTGAAGATACATCATTATCACTTACTTTTGCTATGACCACTGTATTCTACTGCCCACTGACGCCTCTAGGTGAAGATACATCATTATCACTTACTTTTGCTATCACCACTGTACCCCACTGCCCACTGACGCCTCTAGGTGAAGATACATCATTATCACTTACTTTTGCTATGACCACTGTACTCTACTGCCCACTGACGCCTCTAGGTGAAGATACATCATTATCACTTACTTTTGCTATGACCACTGTATTCTACTGACCACTGACGCCTCTAGGTGAAGATACATCATCATCACTTACTTTTGCTATCACCACTGTACTCTACTGCCCACTGACGCCTCTAGGTGAAGATACATCATCATCACTTACTTTTGCTATCACCACTGTATTCTACTGCCCACTGACGCCTCTAGGTGAAGATACATCATTATCACTTACTTTTGCTATCACCACTGTATTCTACTGCCCACTGACGCCTCTAGGTGAAGATACATCATTATCACTTACTTTTGCTATCACCACTGTATTCTACTGCCCACTGACGCCTCTAGGTGAAGATACATCATTATCACTTACTTTTGCTATGACCACTGTATTCTACTGCCCACTGACGCCTCTAGGTGAAGATACATCATTATCACTTACTTTTGCTATGACCACTGTATTCTACTGCCCACTGACGCCTCTAGGTGAAGATACATCATTATCACTTACTTTTGCTATGACCACTGTATTCTACTGACCACTGACGCCTCTAGGTGAAGATACATCATTATCACTTACTTTTGCTATGACCACTGTACTCTACTGCCCACTGACGCCTCTAGGTGAAGATACATCATTATCACTTACTGTTGCTATGACCACTGTATTCTACTGCCCACTGACGCCTCTAGGTGAAGATACATCATTATCACTTACTTTTGCTATGACCACTGTATTCTACTGCCCACTGACGCCTCTAGGTGAAGATACATCATTATCACTTACTTTTGCTATCACCACTGTATTCTACTGACCACTGACGCCTCTAGGTGAAGATACATCATTATCACTTACTTTTGCTATGACCACTGTATTCTACTGACCACTGACGCCTCTAGGTGAAGATACATCATTATCACTTACTTTTGCTATGACCACTGTA